TCTTGATAGGGCATGCATTTATCATGGTAAAAATTACTTTATTTGTTTGGGGAGGGGGAAGTTAGGTCTGATTTGTAATTATACAATTATCTGGACACATAACATTTAATTATTCTGTGAAATGTCATATACTCTGTAAAGAATATCAAGTAGCTGAACACTTTGACTGGTCAAACAATATGAATTACTTGGTGATCTGCTGCAGCTACAATGTGCTCTGACTGGTATTTTGAATTTTCTCAGATACACGGTCCATGTCTTTTACGGTCCATCTTGCATCTGTTCAACAGGCATCTTATGCACGTTTAGCATCACAATCATTCTATATAATTATGAAAAAATGCTCTGTCTTTATTTCATGAATTCAGTTGGTGATGGCAAATGACAAACCTCAACCAAACTCACAGTTTTGACCACATAAACACATGACTCAAAACATGAGTATTATCTATTTACTCATTTCTTCACAAAAACATACCCTCGATTTATCCGTAAATGGCTTTTAAAAATTCTGTCACCTGAAAACAAATGCAGTAATATATAATTTGCACAGAAACTGTTTCATGTCTGCTATATTTCTTTTGGTTCTAATGTGCCATTTGGTGTTTACTCTAATCCAAAAGGTTGAGCACCAGAGTGAGTGAACAGATTTTTGACATGGGTGGGCCCTTGTGGATCTGGCTGAGTTGGGGATTTAGAGAAAAGGTCTGCATGTAGATTGGAGGGCTCCGAGCTTCTCAACAGGACTGCACAGTCAGGTGACAAATGGTGCCCCAGGCCAGCCGAGTGCCAGAAATGGTCCTCTTAATCAATCAGAGGTCAACATGTAGCCTCTCTCCAGACTGCCTCCACCCTGAGAGGCAGCCATCTGATGGAGCACTTAATGCCAAGACAAGAAGGACACAACCCTTTTCTCCTAGTTTAGAGCACTAGTGCTGCTGCTTACTGTCATCTCATCACTTCTATAAAAAAAAAAAAAAACGGGACAACTCACAGCGGAGACGTCTTTCTTTTGCTTGTTCGTTATGACAGCAACACTAAGTCAACTGAGACATCAATTTGACAACTTTTAATTGTTTTTTTTGTTTTTTTTATTTTTCATTTTAAAATTCTTCTCTTAACTTGCTCTGTTGAGTTTTTCATATCCTTAAAGCCTCTGATTACTCGATGGGAAACGGTCATGTTGCCGTAAGCCTCTCTCTGGCCTCAGCACCAACCTCCAGCCTGCAGCCCCCCCATCTTTGACACATGGCCATCTGTAGCAGGACTTCAGGCAGTAAATAAGGGAATAGAGGGTAGAGCACCTCTCTTGTAGGCCCAACCTAAGGCCAAGCCCATGCATTCTGTCCTGCACCCCGGGGCCCACCCGTGCACACCCCCTGGGGTTGACCTACACACTGCAGGGTCCCCCAGGGAGCATATCAGGCTTTAGGAGTAGCACAGGCCTTCTGTCTTCTGTCCACCCCCCACTCTCCACGCATATCACTACACTCTCCCACCATCCGTCTCTCCATCACCCACCATCCATACATTCATCTGTCCATTCCCACTATCAGCCCAAACGTTTGCTCAGACTCAAAGACCTTTGTCAGTCACCCATCTGCTTCACTCTTATTATGTTTGCAATTGTGTGTCCGTCTAATCATCGATTCTCCCATGACTCAAAGACGTGTCGGGAAAAATCATGCTCTTGCGCGGTTTTTAGATGAATAAAACAAAACCTGATATTTTACAGACTGATCAAAATACTGAAGCACCTCTGTGTAGATTTTCTTCATTTTCAATATCCTATTTAAATAATCAGACTAGAGAAAGGCTGGAAAATTACAAAGAGAGTGTGAATTACTGTTTTAATAATCCCACTGGGTTGGTGAAAATTCATTTGAAGTTGCAGGAAAATTGAGAGAAAATAAGACACAAGCAGATTGTTAAAGGCAGCAGTCACGCACCAAAGCTATCAAAAGCTCCTGAAATGGTGTCACATTGCCATTACACTACCAATAAAATTGTCAATTCACTGGGAAAAAAAAAAAAAGTCAATCAATAGACCCACCAATCACCAGCGCCCACAGATCCATATATCTATTCATCCACCCTGACACTCGAGACCTGCATCTGGCAAACCTTAGACACATTGATTCATCCATCTTTCACCTCTCCCACGGAGGATGTCGTGCTGATTCAGTCCCCACAGGATGCAGGGACAGCACGCAGAAGATACCCAGGACCGACAGATACGCTGAGCGGCGAGGCGGAAGCATGAGGAAAAAAAAAGACAAAGGGGAATGAAAGTCACATAACCAACAAACCTTAAGTCTATCGGCTGAGATAACCTCGGTGAGATTGGCCAAGAATGGAGAGAGCCTATAGGGAGTTGGAGGAAAAAGAAAAAGGTTCTGTCAAATGAAGAGAAAGGATATTGAGAGGTAACAACTTAAAAAAAAGAGGAAGAGGGTGGGAAAAGCGTGGACAAAGACATGCAAGAGGTGGATCGGGCGGATCAGCAGTGCAAACTAGAGTTTCCTTTACACGTATTGAGATGCAGATCCCACTTTTGCGGCTCATAAAGGAGGCTGTCAGGAGCGAGTGTGCTGGTGCGTGAGGATGTTCATGTGGGACAGAGTCTCACACATCTGCTAACCTGCTTCTCTAATGGGGTGCAAATGGGCCTCCTTTGTCCTGCCATGCAGACCCGGCTGGAATGACTTGTCACGTCTGATGACGACTTCAGCTTCGCATGCATACAGAAGGATGCTCACACTGGTGTTTACATGTGAATGACGCAGGAGGAAAGGGGTCTCTTCCACCCAAATATCTGATTGTAACACAAATTTCTCTGTTTAAAATGACGTTAAAGTCAAACAGTCAGTATTTATGCAGTTATTTCACACAACAGTAAAACTTTTTACCAGCACTTCTTTTATTTTTTTTTTACTGCTGTCATTAATAATTGCTCGGGTTTTAATTGAAAAATCCTCCTGCGTGATGCTGTAATGAAACAGAAAGAGATTTGTGCAAATGGGTCTTCCTTTGTCCGGCCTGGCAGACCCGGCTGGAACGACTTGTCACGTTATATGACGACTTCAGTTTCAAATGCAAACAGAAGGATGCTCACAATGAGGTTTGTATGTAAATGTAGAACAACTATGTTTAGAGCTCAAACAAAAAAAATGGGACATTCCTATAGAGAAATGTGGTTTATTCCCCCAAACAACACCTTTGTAGCATGAATTCCTCTATTTAAAATCATGTTACAGTAAAACAGTTTGTGTGTATGCAGAGTTATTTGGCACGAGTATAAAACTTTATCCCTACACTCTCTCTTTTTTTTTTTTTTTTTTACTGCTGTCATTAATAATTACTTTGCTTTTAGTAGAAAAATCCACTTGCATGATGCTGTGCTGACGTAGAAGCAGATTTGTGCAAATGGTCTTCCATTTCTCTGGCCTTGCATGACATGTAAATGTAGTATGCATACCTATAGAGTTTAAAGAAATGTAGATTGATCTGACATTCCTACAGTGGGATGGAGTTTATTTCACCCTAAATACATTTGTGGCATGAATTTCTCCATTTTAAATAACACAAATATGTCAGTTTGTGTGTCCAAAAAAAAGGATTCAGTTTTTCAGTACAAGGGTAAAACTTTTTTCCCTGCACTTCTCTTCCTGACTTTTTACTGCTGTCATTAATAATTACACGCGTTGTAACAGAAAAGTCCAGTTGCATGATGCTGTGCAGAAGCAGATTTGTGCTAAATCTCATCCTTAAATCCAAACATGTCCAAAGCTGTGTTTTTACTAAGCAGCCCCCGACTTGCCACAACTCAGCTGAAATGATTTTAACTAGGCTCTCTTGCTGACTTGCTGGTTGGGGGATGGGGATGAGGAGGAGGAGGAGGAAGAGGAGGAGGGGGGCAATATGGGGTCACACAGGAGGAGAACTGAGAGGGAGGAGAGAGGAGAGGAGGAGGAGGAGGAGGAGGAGGAGGGGGTCGCTTTTTTTTTTTCATTCTCTCCGGGCTTTAGGGGAAGAAAGGAAGGAAGCCAGAGCGAGGCAGAGAAGCCCAAACCAAACTGAGGAGAGATGGATGATGGGGGAGGGACCGGAGCGAGAGCGCTGCTTATTGGTAGGCTGCGGTTCTCTCACTGGATGGATTGACTTAGCACGGGTCGAATTACACCATTTGCCGTGCATTAGTTTGTTTTTCTCCCAGCCAGGAGAAGTTGATTCACTACGACGCGCAAAATATTGGCTTCTTTTTCTGGATTACAGCAACGCCAAAAAAAGAGGAAAAAGGATACAAAACAATCAATTCAAATGAGGTGAGTTCTTTTGCAGCTACGTGGATTTTTCTACTTTGTTGCGACGTATTAATGCCAGTGAAAGTCGAAGGTTGAGTAGGGGGGGGAAGAAAAACTAGAGAGAAGTCTTTGCTTGGGAAACAAAATATTTCTTCTGACCACGTCGCTATGCAAAAAAACTGAAGGTTGTAGGACAGAAATAGTTGAGCTCCGGACTATTTTTACGCATCAATCCAGTGTAATGTTCATTCATTGCTCATAGGAGTGGCAAAAAATCTAATCTGTCCAGCTCCGAAGCGTCTTTTCCACCGTTCATAAAGCGGCGTGAGAGAGGAGACAAACCAAATGTGAATTACCTCTTTATTTATGAGACAGTTTAAGATGCCACAAATCTTTACGAGACTGAGCAAAGTTGTGCGATCATGGTCTTTTCAGCGCAAATTACGCACAGATGAGAGTTTTGCCTCAATCCGATCATTCTGTCTGGTGGATACGCGCTCTCCGCACAGCTTCTTGTTATTTTTAAAAATCAGTGATTGTTGCCTGCGTGGAGTCAGGAGAGCGGCGTAGTAAGAGGATAGTGCATCGTTAATGTTTATGTCTTTTCCCTCTGCTTTCCAAAGTTAATCGTAGTGGAAAGGGGGCTGGTGTATTCGGTGTATGGAGAGGGAGGGAGAGTGGGGGGGCGGCTGTGTGGTCGTGGCAGAGAGCGTTTGAAGATCACTCATCAGAGCGCAGGGGCCCGGGGACGGACACAAGAGTCAGAGGCAAAGAGAAGGCGAAAAATGCTCGTATGTGGCGAGCGGAGCTGAAATCTGTGCGCAGCTGGATAAAACAAAACACAAAAAAAAAGAGAGAGCAAAGTGGGGTCCGGATGAAGCTTGAAATAACAGGAATATGACACGCTGGGTGTTTTCTCGCAAATGGATTACCAAAGGAATATGACATTCAGTCGGACTGCCCCGTTCATGCGTGAATTCGGATACTTAAGGTAGGTGTCCTCAGTTTAATTATTGATAGAAGTGTGTCTTTCCTGCTTCTTGTTTTTGGACACATTCCCTGTGTTGGAGCTTATTATTATTATCAAGGCGAAGCTTGGATTTATTAAAGGATATATGACTCACTAGTTCATCCGGAGAGCTACTTTGTGAACAGAATCAAAGCACATTTAATAAGTAAAACAAATCTCCCTGATGATGGTGGACCGGGATATTTGAGCCACGCCGGTGGAACACTTAAACCAAGCTTTTACGCAGCAAAGTGCTCTTATTTTTGTTTCCCCAGTGTCTTCCATTGTTGCAAGTAGTGTTACACAGATCAAAACGGGAATTTTCCACTTCACCAAAATCAACTTGGAATAAAAGGTAACCTGCACACGATTGAACCTGCAGGCACAGATGGCTTTCAAACAATAAAAGACGAGCGTGACGCACAGTTAAACAACAACGTAGTCGTCCGCTCGCTTCCCGATGCCTCTTAATCTATTTAATGTATTCCCAATTTCATCATTGCTATTCTTATATTGGATAATAAATCGCAGAAGCGCTCGTAACCTCTGTGGAAGGCAGAGCAGCACGGAACAGCCCAGCCCTGTGCATGCATTAAGTGCTGTGGAGGCAGTTAAACGCAGCCCCATCCCTGTTGTTGTCACTCCACCGCTGTCCCCCGCGTCTTTGTTGTCTTTTGTGTGAGTCCTACATGTGGACTAAAGGGTTCTGAAAAGATTTACCACGGACAAAACTTGAATGCCTTTATGTTCCATGCGGCACAATGCGAGCATTAGAGCCCGGGCTGCTGCGTGAATTGTGTGCGCAAAGCAGGAGCGGAAGATCCCCACGCAAAACTTAAAAAATTACCAGGGAATGAAGAAAAAAAAAGAAGAAGAATGAGGGAAGAGAGAGCATCATGATGGCTCATTTGTTTCATAAAGAGGCATGCAAGTGTGGCTGTTAGAGTAGTTGGAGGAGCTGTGTCTTAATATCTGAGAAAATGTGGAGAAACGAAGTAATGGAGCAGAAGGAGATGTGCCAAATAAGAGAAAGGCGTATTCTTAAGTTGCTACTGTAGACTATGAAGTGCTTATTGATCTTTTAAAATGACAAAACTTTACACTCATGTTTAAGGTAAAAAAATTTTAGCACTTTCAAACTCAGCCTCTTTACAGAAATAAAGATAAAGATGTGCACCTTTCCCTGACGATCTGAAGGTGTGCCACAGAGATTGGAGAGTTTCATTCATCTACTGGAAGTACAAACTAGATAATATTGGCAGGAGCATCACAGTACGACCAGGTCAAACATCAGAACCAGCCCTGGATCTGTTGACAGCACAGCTGGTTGGTGTGTCTCACTCCGCCTCACTGGCTGCAGGGTCAGAACTCAGTGACCAGAACGACCACCGTTAACCTCCACTACAGTCGCCTGTAACCCCGGAACAACCACCATTAAACCATACAGTGATCAGCATTAACCCTTTACAGCCCGTATGGTTTCTCCAAACAGCTGCTCGCAAATCAGATTGCTCAGTATTTAATTGGTAGAGTGATAAAAGTTTGACCCCCGTGTGCAACATTTGGAGTCAGCATGTTTATACAGTCTGCTTTGTTCCCTCTGAACTCCCTTTTTTAGGAGCTTCCTCTGACCGTAGAGGTCCACTGACCGGGGGGTGGGGCTCTATTGTGTGGAGTTGCCCAAAGCCCCTTTTGTTTCTTGGTCACACCTGCAGCTCAAGCCCTTTTGTGCTCCACTATGGAACTACTGCTGAGAACAGCCTTTCTCCTGTTTCACTCCTCCCCTCGCAAAGGTAGAGAAGAAAGGGAGGGAAGCTCGGTTTAGGGTTGTGGAGCCGTCTCCTTCTGCCAAATCTCTGAAGCAACAAGTCCAACCAAGCCCCTCCGAAGTGATCCTTGGGTAAATAGCATGCGATTAGGGGTACTGGTTATTACTGAAGTGGGAAAAGGGGTAGTAATCATTTCTGGGCCTGTGTGGTAGCTGCTCTAATCATCTGGCTGGCTCGCTCTCCTGTGTGGCTGCATCTTGATCACTTTCTCAGAGCTACAGTTGAGAGTTGTGACAACCGTGTTATAGCGCATATCCAGCTTTGGACAGACAGTCACGCATGTCTACTTATGCATCTAGGCACACACACAATAAGTGTGAGGAATAAAATGCCTGAAACCAAACTCCTGGGTTATCTGATTTCCTCTGCTTTTAGGTTTACAGCTCAGTATGGTGCAAAATGACAAGTCAAGCAGCCTCAAGCAGCAGCCATTGTTCTGCAGGGATTACATCAACCCATTGCATTCGCACACAATTTACGGAGCCTCACGCATCACTGTTGTTTACTGTCCGTTTATTATCCCCAATTCCTCCCAATAGGACCTCCATAACAAAAAAACAAAACACATCCATGCAGGACTGCAGTGTAGGAGAGGTTATGGCTTACATGTGCTGGTGGGAGCACAGCTAAGAGGAGAATATGTGTCAATCTGTCATTTTAAGCTGGGAACACTAAAGCTTCAGCTGTAACTACCAGAACTGAGCTAACAGACCCCTACACCCACCATCAGCAGAAATAGCAATCCACCAGACCCCCACCCCCCACCACCACCCCTTCCCATGTTTAACACCATGGGCCCGAGCCAACAACATCAGCAGGGAAAGTGTGTGGTTGTAGGACATTGAAAAGCCTGTAATAACAGAGGTAGAGCGAGGCAGGCCTGAATGGCACTGAGTTGCGTGACAAGCCCAGCGTCTCCAGGCTTGTTGAGGCCTATATGTGCGCGCACACACACACACAGTCACACACATACACACTTACATATACTGGAGGGCAGGAACCAGAGAGCGCTAAGGAATAGTCAATAGAAAACATGCTGGGCTCACTAGAGATTGAGAAGTAATTTTAGATCACTGACCTCTGGATGTCTTCTGTTTCTGTTTTGCATTAAAGTTTCTGAGGAAAGCCTCTGCCTCTGCAGCACGGCTATTACCATGCAAGGAATCATGGGAGATCGGTACCGAGCTATTGCCTGTGCTTGGAGTGCTTATTTTTTTCTGTTGGAATTGTTAAGCGAGGGAGAATGGCAGGAGAAAGTGGTGTGAATGTGGGTGCTTTTGAAGAGGGGGGGATATAGAGCAGGACTGTAAATTCTGACAAGTAAGGAAATGATTTGCCTCCGAACACAACCTGAATTTGGGCTACGAGCACAGCCTGCAGCCGGTACGATAGCACTATAGAATTGAAATGTAGAGCTGGGTTTATTTACCTTTCATAGTTCGTCTATTTTTCTGTTGTTGAGCCTTTGGTATCTATTCCTGTCCCAGGCTTCTCCTAGAAACTCAGCAATTTATTGCCTGGGTTTTAACACAGCACATTTCTTGGTGCGAGAGCATCTGAACCAGGTTGTAAAAAAAAAATTGCTGCGATGCTTTTAAGGAACACCGCCGCCTCTCTTTTCAGAGCGGTGTCATCATTTCTCGTTTAGATTAAGTTCCTGACAGTTCTTCGTCTGTATAGATCTGGCGGATCGTTTGTGTCCAGAGATTCATTTGTATCTAGATTAGAAATAGCGATTGCTTCAGCAGCATCGATGTTTGTAGTTATACGGAGAGAAAACAACCCTTTGGCCCTCGTAATATCTTCCTATTTTGTCTAAACATCAAACCAGTAATTTAACCACTAAGTGGACTGATTGAGATGAAGCATCGTCTCATCCAGGCCGTGCATTACTCAGTCATAATGACATTGCTCCTTCAAAGGCCTCAGTATCCCACGGAGTACTGAATAGCCATGATTACACACTGTTGATGACTAAAACACATTGGCACTGCTCTGATTCCATCTCACCACCGCTTCCATTCTTTTTAGTGACACATCCTCATACAGTAACTGTTGAGACAAAAATGGGATTATTAGCGCCTGGAAAACACGCCGCGTGTTTTCTGTCAACATGTTGGAATAAAGGTAGCGCCGCCAAATTACATGTTATGTAATGCACATACAAACAAAAAGGCTGATATATATTGTTGCTGTCAGGTACGCGCCTCACAACGTCTAATTTTCCACTTGACAACCATGTGTGTTGTAATTAATTCACGTGACAACCATGTGTGTCAGTTAATTTAAGGGTTTGGAAATATTACAGAAGCCCAACTGATGTCCAATCTTTTCCATGACAAAAGTGACCAGATTTAGAGTTACAAACTACTCACATGGTTACAGTGGTATGTCCATAGATTGCCTTTTCTGGCTGCTGATCTGCCATGTTTCCTGTGTGGATCAATCAAAGCACTAATGGCTTGGCAGGCAGGGCTCACAGACAGCACTGGAGCAGGTGTGCTTTGGGGCTAATTGAAAAATGAGTCAATACCGTGTGTGTGTCCGTGTGCGCACACGCACCAGTCTTTGCATTGCACCATTTGAAAGAGTGATTATGTATGTGCAACCGTGTGTGTGTGTGTCTATCCCGGTGTGCTCCAAGCTAATCCATCCCTCTGCCTGTGTGACGTCTCCCAGTAAATTGTTTATATCCGTTCAGGCTTTGCCTGCATGAATAATTTGTTTGCCTTATAAATATTTGAATGTACACTGATCATTAATATGCACAGACACAGTCTGTCTCTAAAGTACTCCTCCACACACTAACATACACACTAAACCCCTGCCACTCCCACAATAAATTATTACCAAAGTAGCTGTTGGTGTATCATGTCTACAATCAGATGCTGCGCAAACTTTATCCACAAAAATTACTACTATGTCAAAACAACCGTGCACGTGTAGGAACTCAATACAAATAGGAGTGAATCACTGTTCTGCAATAAAGCACAGAGGCCCTGAGGAAAGGCTGGAGCAATAACAGCCAGCAGAGTGCTGATAGAAGTCTGCTAAGGTCAGAGCAGAGGCTACACTACTGATGGTGATGAAGTTGCAATGTGCTGATTAGCGATGGCCCTGTACAAGCCAATCAGAGCACAGATGTACTGAGACAGCAGGCCTGCCACGTTTCTAACAGAGTGGACTTCCGCTGCATCCAACACATACCGAGACACCCCACCGGTCAGTTGGCTGACCTTCCCTTAGACAGCAGATGCAGGGAAAGGTAGAGGGGAAACGCCAAGCACTGCCACTGAGAGCTCAGTCATCAATAAACCAGAGAGGACATTATGTGTGCATTATGTCTGTGTTTTTCCAACATAGTGGGTATCAGCAAGAAAGGAAAAACTTCACAGTGGAAGCTGTTCTTATTTTTGCTGTCCTGAGGTTAACAAATGGTTTGGATTCGGCTCCTAAGAACAGCGTGCTCAGCAGTATAGCAAATCTGACATGACATTTGTTACACGTGAAGCAACAGAAGCATGCTTTTTGTGTGTGTTAACAGGTAACATCTCCACCAGTGTGAAACAGGAAGTGTCGTCTGTGAGCAGCCATGGGCCAGAGAGCTGCGCTTCTGCTCAGTGAGCTGCTGCTGCTGCTGCTGACAGCCTCACGCACTCTCCTTGCAGTCAGCTTCCCCGAGGACATCATACCCCTCGATGTCGTTGACGCACACTGTGAGTACACACGCAAATGAGCTCAGCAAAAACGGGGGTTTAAATTGCAGATACTCTGACGTCACTGGAAAGATCTGCAACAATCCTTAAAAACCCACTTTTTGCACCCTCCAGTCGCCGTATTGTTACAGATTTAAGACGAATACCTGCAGCCTCCTCCCTCTCATCGTGTCAGCAGTTCAGACACTAGCATGCCACATCCATACTAATAAAACCAGTCTGCTGTACGGCCAGTCATAGCATTAAGTGAATTTCATTTTCATCTCTGTGATGTACTGGAACAACAGAGATGTGCTGACAAAGGCAGCCGCGATTAAACGCACAAGCCCATCACAATGACACACAGATCTTCTATTTATTTATCCTGCACCATTACCTTAATTGCAGAGGGATTTGTATAAAACACATGCACAGCATATTTATGTCTAATCAGTGCAGCGGAGTTAAATGTAGCAGGAGGTGAGTGTGGCTTATCCGTGCAAAAGAGGCAGCCTGTACCATTAGTTTCCCGTTAATAGTGTGTCCGTGTGTGTTTGCAGTTGCGCGCAGGTACCCAGTGTTCAGAGGCAGGCCCTCTGGCAACGAGTCACAGCATCGCCTTGACTTTCAGCTGATGACCAAGATACAGGACACTCTGTTCATCGCTGGCAGGTAAACTCAGCACACACCATGCCTATCGCTCGTCTCTCTCTTTCACACATCCACCCCACACACACACACACACACACGCCAACATACTCTGTCACTCCTTGGCAGGTAAACATAAGGCATAAGGGAGGGGAAAAGCTCTTAGTGTTATTGGATCTGTGGCTTCTAGGCCTGCATCTGATGTATATGGTCTGTATTGATCCGCTAAGGGCGTCTATCATCCCGGCCTGATGTGTTGTCAGGGATTTCTTGGCATCTTTACATGTCTTTTTGGTATTTATGGGCAGCAGGATTAATCTGACCGCTAGCACTAATATTGTAGCAGGAAATCACCTCGACATCTACAGTATAAAACTCCCACCTCTGGAGCCTCTGTAATCACCAGCACATGTATCTCTGTTGTCAGGTGGATCCTGCTCTTGCAGCAGTTGCGTGTTTATTTGTTGTTGTTTTCCTAATATAAGTGACATGAACTGTTGTTCCGTCATAACGTTTAAAAATGTATTTCTGTGTTTTTAACACTGACATATGGCACTGACAACAGACATACATTTGGTTGACAGTAAATGAGGCCCCTCTGATGACAAATACAGCAGAGAAGAAACCTCATGATGGCAAATAAAGAAAAAATATTGGAAAATAATGCAAATAAGCTGCTTATTATGCATGGCAATTCCTCTAAGAATAGAAAAAAAATGATAATGACAGCAGCTTAAGACAAGCTGGAAAAGCCCTGAATATGTATCATGTATGTGTATTCCTGCTCACGCCGTCTCCCTGAGCTGTATATGTTGTGTTTTTTTGTCTGTCCACAGAGATCAGGTGTACCTTGTCAGTCTGAGAGAATCCTACAGGAATGAGATCATTCCTTACCGGGTAAGATTCTCCCCACAAGCTGCTCTCTCAATCCACAAACACTAAAAGGGCCTCCGTAGAAAAATACTGAGCAATTCATCACAAACCGGACAGGTTGTAAAATGAGAGAGTGGAAAAGGGAGGACTGTGTGTGTGTGCGCGTGCATGAGTGAGTATTGTGTGTTTCATGTTCCAATGCATGTGGCTAATGCGCCGTGTCGGTTTTTACAGAAGCTAACATGGCGATCGGGCCAAGCTGACAGAGAGATGTGTGCCGTCAAGGGAAAACACAGAGTACGTATAAAAAATCATTAACCGCACACCTTTTTTTGTTTTATATCACATGGACGGAAGCTTGAACTGTGAGCTGGCAGCCTCTCAAAAATAAATAAATAAATAAAATCCCATGTTGTGCGTTTGTTTCCAGGACGAGTGCCACAACTTTATCAAAGTGCTGGTTCCCAGAAACGACGACCTGGTGTTCATCTGTGGCACCAATGGCTTTAACCCCATGTGCAGATACTACAGGGTCAGTATCCCACTACGCGCAAATCTGAACTAGGATTGTGTAAATAGCAATTTGGGTAGCACACCCTATATTTCAATTTCTTCTTTAAATGCATTTGATTAGAGTCATTCGTGATTCATATTCATGCTGGTGCCTCTATGCGTATTTGTTTTCACTGGCAAACCTTTTATGTGTGGGTGATTGTTGTGTTCCCTTCAGCTGGATAACCTGGAGTTTGATGGGGAAGAGATCAATGGACTGGCACGGTGCCCATTTGACTCCAAGCAAACCAACGTTGCCCTTTTCGCTGGTAAGGGTCAAACACACAGCCGCCCACGCACATAGTTAGTCTTGCTGAAGAAGAACTAATGTGTTCCTACTTATGCTCTCATTATCACCTCTGTGTCTTTGCCACAGTAAAACTGTGCCTGCAGCGATAACAACTCAGCCAATTAAGCTTTATAAAAGAAGAGAAACAAAGCATTGAAAAGCAGTGCATCTTCATTTTATTTTTTTTTGTGACTGTGTTCCTTCTTGTTTTTTTAGAAGGGAAGCTGTACTCTGCAACCGTAGCTGACTTCCAGGCCAGTGATTCTGTCATCTATCGCAGTATGGGTGATGGATCAGCCTTGAGAACCATCAAATATGACTCCAAATGGCTGAAAGGTAAGCGAGCGCCTCTTTATCGCTCTGAATCTTTATTTCTGTTTCCCTTTGCCTTTCCTGGAGGTAACATGTGTCTACCTGCCAGCTGACTAAAAGCCCATGGTGCCTTTGCATGGCGCATGTATGTACGTGGCTGTCAGAGCTGTTTTTGGAGTGATAGAGCGCTCTCCTGCCTCGCCAAGCTCCGTGGGGATATGGCCTGTTCTCTCCCAGGCAATCTAGGTCACCCCCAGTCATATACAGCCTTGTACAAATCCCTGAAATATTCAACATGCACAGTGGTGGTGACGGTGCAGAAATACACTTCAACTCTCGGCCTCTGTCTCTCCCTCAGAACCTCATTTCCTGCACGCAGCAGAGTACGGGAATTATGTGTACTTTTTCTACCGAGAGATTGCAGTGGAGCACAGCAATCTGGGGAAGGTAAGACAGTGCACCTGCCGTTCATAATGCTTTACATATTCTACACAGAGTATGCAGGCCTTTATCCCCATCCCCACCCAAAAAAAAAAAGGAGGGCTTACACCTCCCTCAGTGCATGTGTTCCTGCCACAAAATGGGCCAAGTGGTAATGGGGCCCATTCAAGCGATGACACTACATCACATTAGAATGCACGAGAAATTTCAACCACCAGTGTTTCCTGGGAATGTTCTGCTAATGTAAAACCATTACACAGTGAGAGGATTTGTCTCCCAGAGATTGCACGCTTTGTGTCTGCCTCTCCCTCTGACACACACACTCATGCGGAGGGAATTAGGATGTTCTATGTTCAGATTTGACCGTGCCTCATCCTGAGCTGGTCTGGCCAAGCCACAGGAAGCCAGCATCTTCCATCAGCCACCAGCTAATAAATATTTCAACCCTACTAATGCTGGGGTGACACCTGGCCTCTGATGGAGGTTTGCACTGGTAAATTATTAAAAACTGTCTTAGCCAACTGCTTCACGTCCCCTCATTTATACTCTAAGCCTGGGTAATATGTGCAATAAAACACACTATCACATTGTGCTGCATTAAGTCAGTCGAAGCGATTGGATGTGTTCTTGCTTTAAATGTTTGCTCCAGTCAGCAAACAATCTCCACACACTACGTTAAATATGAGAGTGTTTGTTAAGTCATCTGTGCCGAGTTGCTACAGGATGGAGAAATGCATTATTCAGCACGCTGAAGTGTTTTTAGTGACTTTCTCCGAGACGCCCCTCCTCGCTTCCACGCGCCTCAAGTCTCTCTTAAACCTCTGCTCCATGTAGGTTGTGTATTCTCGCGTGGCCCGAATCTGTAAAAATGACGTCGGCGGGTCACAGCGTGTGCTGGAGAAGCACTGGACGTCTTTCGTGAAGGCGAGGCTGAACTGCTCTGTGCCAGGGGAGTCCTTCTTCTACTTCGACGTGCTTCAGTCCATCACCGACATCATCGACATCAACGGAGTTCCCTCGGTGGTGGGCGTGTTCACCACGCAGATGAACAGGTGAGGCGCAGCTGCTGAGGAGAGGATGCAGAGTTTTAGAAGTCAAGCATGGATGTTGATGCATTTCTTTCTCCACAGCATCCCGGGGTCAGCAGTGTGTGCCTTCTCCATGGCCGACATTGAGAAAGTATTCTGGGGTCGGTTCAAAGAGCAGAAGACTCCTGACTCGGTGTGGACTCCGTTTCCAGAGGAGAAGCTGCCCAAACCTCGGTAATGATTGATCTTCTCTCTTCCTCAAAATACTTCAAAGTTCAAATAGCGCAGAGCCAAAAGAGCAAAACAAAACAGCAAGTTTGAAAGAAGTAATTTTGAATTTCAAACATATTCTTCTTCTGAGCAGGTGGTTCCTGACTCAGCAGCTGTTTACCACCTGTCATTTTACTCCCTTTCTTAACCCTTCTTTGTCCAGGTTAAACCCAATGAAATCAAACCCTTTTTACTAGTAAGGGACCAGGTTATTAGTTTTGACCCAGCACACACATTCACCATCTGCTGATGATTAAATAATTAATTTGGCATAATTAGACGCATTGCATATTTAACCCGTTTTACAATCAGCACCTATATTTGTAGCCCTGCCCTCGGTCCAAAACACAAAGTCCACGGAGCACCTAATTACCTCAGTGAATCATTAATAGGGGATAACCGTGCATATGTATATTTTATGTTTTCCAGCTGAGGCCTTTTTGTGATCCTAATAAGCACCTGCTACTCTCCTTCACCCTTTCATTGCTCTTTTCCATCCATTTCACTTCACGTTGTTATTGCTCCCTGGTGTGTGATCGTATAAGCTGATCTTTGACCTTTTGCCCTCTGTGCATGTGCGCTCTCCATCCCAGACCCGGGTGCTGTGCAGGTCACGGTCCAGCTGCGTCCTTTAAGAGCTCCGTCGAGTTTCCGGACGACACCCTGCAGTTCATCAAGTCGCACCCCCTCATGGACACAGCTGTGCCTTCTATCGGGGACGAGCCTTGGTTCACCAAGACACGAGTCAGGTGAATACGTGACGCACGGATCGGTGCTTGGGCAACACCTGAGTTTTGGAATTGGAGGATTTTGTGAATACCTTAGTTTGAGGAATATAAACTTTTTTTACAAAGCCCTCTTTGATGTCTTATCGAAATATTCCAACTTCTCCTGTCACATTACTCCTCAATAACAAACAACTACAAGAAATAGAATAACATAGAAGTCATCATCTGAAGAAGAAGAATAAAACAAGACTGTCCAATCAAACAATCTGGCCAAACTTTTGATGCAGACTTTCCATATTCAATGCAATAGACACATTCAAGTTTTTTAAAGATCCAAATTTCAACATCCTACATGACAGCCTCGTAGTTATTCATAGTGTGTATACAGTATATGAAGATTTGCTGACTCAAACAAAGAAATGAGTATAGAAACGTTAACCATCTAAATCCCCAAATCTGCTGGCAGATTTAAAAGACTTGTTGTCCTTAAAAGATCGCTTCCAGCAAGTCCTGAGCTACTCATCTGTGGATTTCCATTCTATTGGGATCATAATCCAAATCGAAGCCTAAAATCACAATATTTCATCAAAATCACTTGATTTTTCATGCTGAGACATGAACTGTTTGCATAAACCTTTCAAATACAAAGAAATTGTGCTCTTTGGTGCAACCATCAAGCCAGTAGTGACTCAGGTGCGACTAACCGACACATGACAAAAATTCAGAAACTTTGGTGTGAACTGGGGTGAACTGCAACATGGCAGAAGAATACAGTCACATTTAAAAAATAAATAGTAAAATATCTGTAGGATGTAGAATCAACTGTTTTTATTTCAGTATTGGCAACATGCAGGAACTTGGAAAATATGTAATTTAAATTCTAGGATTATTTAATTGATTATAAAAAGTAATAATCTAAAAAAAATTAACTGTACTTTTTTTTTTAAATTTTCATCATTTATGCCATTATAACATTGGCATACTGCACAAAAAAACATTTTGGAGTTCTCTTTATTATTATCCATGGCTTTGGGTACAGGACTTTATATTGCAGTGAAAATTAAGCCCAGAGTGAGTAGACATGTGACAGAAGCAAACAATGCCCAGAAAATGCTTGGAGTTTACAAGGTTACTTTGGCAGGTAGGTAAATAGTACGCATGTTAATGAAAATAATAAAGAAAATAGGATGAGATTTTCAAAAAGGTTTCACAGAGCCAAACATCTTTATGTGTTCAAATGGCCGTTCCTGTTGTGACTGAGATGATCCCTCCAGTGAGTAACGCCTGCCTCTCTGCTGTGTTTAAAGGTACAGGCTGACAGCGCTGGCTGTGGACAACGAAGCAGGACCCCACAAGAACTACACAGTGGTGTTCATCGGGGCTGAGTCGGGGATTGTCCTCAAGGTTTTAGCCAAGACCTCCTCTGTGTCCCTGAATGACAGCCTGCTTCTGGAGGAGATAGACATCTTCAACAGGGCCAAGTAGGGATACGTGCACTCCTCACCCACTCACTGTCTGCACCTCTTCTCTGTTTCTCTTCCCCGTCTGTCTGCTAGCTGAGGAGTCAGCAACTCTTAAGGTGAAACTTCCTTGCACAGATGGCAGTGTCTGCTTGCTTTCTCTGCATGCACAGTATGGGTGCGTTGTTTTTTTTGTGATTATTTGTGGAAGCAAACATGCACACTGCCATGTGTCAGAGGTTAAAATCCTGTTAAACTGTGAGGGAAAAAAGCTTTATGTGACTCCTCCGCCTAACGAGTGATTAAATCTACTGAGACTGAAACATTAGACAGACTTATCTGACAGGCCTCTGATTAGGTTTCTCTCTTCTCTCTCCAGGTGCCTGTCTAACCGCGAGGATGACAAGCGTGTCCTGTCCCTGCACGTGGACAAAGACACACACAGCCTTTATGTCGCCTTTTCAAGCTGTGTCATCCGTGTTCCCCTGAGTCGCTGCGAAAGATATTCTTCCTGCCACAAGTAAGTGACGCGTTACTGCACATGTAGGAGGTTTGACTGTGCTTCGTCCGGTCAGTCATAGGTTTGTGACTTTATTGTTTTGTTTTTCTGGTAAATGTAATAAAGGGAATGATAACAGCTATGCCTTCTGGTTAATGTTCAGTCAAGTCACAAATGATTATAGTAGACTTTCCAGAAAGATTAAACCTGCTGTGCTTGTGTGTTCTTGTGTGGTGCCAGGTCCTGCATTGCATCAAGGGATCCTTATTGTGGCTGGAAGCCTCACGCAGCCTGTGAGAGGATACAGCCTGGTGTTTTGTGAGTTCAAACCCCAGCTGCAATATGAAACACAAATATTATAGATGAGAAAAGGAGTTGACAAGAATTCTTTGGCAACATTTTTATTCATATCTGTGTCTATCTCCTTTTTTTTTTTCTGTCTGTTTCCAGGGCTGGATACGAGCAGGATGTTGAATTTGGAAACACTGCCCACCTCGGAGACTGCCAAGGTACAAAGCTCATCTCCATGCCATCTACCCTGACACATATACGAGCGCACACACAGATACATGCACACATTGTACGCAAATAAAACACAAACTCATCTCCACATACACCATGAGCCTGCACACTCACACCAGTAACCACTCCAGTAACTTGCCCCTACATTAGTCTATGTGCAGTATTAACACACACATCTACATACAGTACATGGCCACCTGTAACTAATGCCGCCTGTGAGGCAGAAACATGGACATGTACAATTACGGGGTCATGTTCAGCTGGTGCAGATGATAGAGGCCTCATGATATCTCACGGCCAGAAAATGCGCCTTTACTGATTTCACTTAAATGCATCTGTCCCTTCATGTGTATCAGCTAAACATGACCCAGGCTGAACCTCAGTATTGATCAGAACCAGAGGGCCTCCAGTGAGAAAATGACACTGCTAGCGAGTGCTTTATTATCTCTGTTGTTAAAGCAACTAAACTGCACTCTTAGTGTCTCTTAGGGGTTTTTCTTTTTTTTTTTTTTTTTTAACTTCTGAATTCCCTTATAATGATTTCTTGTCCTTTTAATTCTTTTAGCGTTTTTGGGCACTACTTCAGCGCCAGATTACAAATCATTTGGCGACCCTACCTCTGGTTAGTTTGATCTTTTACTCAAATGGTTTCTTTCCTTGAGTTCAGCATCTCCAACATCCTTCTTTTCCCCCCCACTGCTACCTTTCATCTGTTCGCCTCCCGAATGCCAATGTCACTTCATTTCTATCATCACAAACAACAGAACCACCAGGCGATATCAGTGCTCCGTCTCAGCACAGATTCACTCCCACCTTTTTCACTCATCACCTCCTGCTCTGGTCCATCCTCCCTCTTGCATGCCCACCCACTATCCCTCAGCATCCTTACTGTTGTGTACCGACTCCACTTTGAACTAGAGTATCTTCCCTTTCCCCCTCCCCCTTTTCAAATTGTCTCAACGGAAAACAAAAAATGTACTTGATTGGTCTGTGAATGTGAAAAAACACTATTTTGACTGTGATATGTTTTTTATCCATTATTTTGTCATACACTCTGCCCATGCCTACTAACTGGGATGGTAACAGTATGCTTTACACTCATCTGCACAGTTTGTTAACAGTTTGTTTGTCACCACAGACATGGAGTTTTCATCAGCGCCAGTCACTGTCCAGCCCAGTGGGCCCATACACCCCCCAGTACTCATACCCACTCAGAACCCCAGCTCTGGGCCTGGTCCAGAGCTCTACGGCTCAGGCTTTGTGCTGCAGGATGACCCAGCCACCTCCCATTCTTTAGACTCAATCCCAGGGGGCCAAGAGGGTAAGGCCCACAGGGAGGCAGCCAGCATGCTGCATTGAGCCCGATCCGATAGCTGCCAGCAACTCTCACTAAGCCACACAACTGTGAAACCACACAGAGGCACACATATGCAAACACAGTGGCAGCTATTAAGGTTTTCTATTAGATAACATGGCAGATTTTAATTTAGTCTCTTTAATTTCATACATAATTTATATTGCTATAGATATTGTGTTTTCTTGCACTAGTTTTAACAGTAGTTTCCTTGTCTTCTTTCTTTCTTTCCTTCTTAATGTTTTTTTTCCTAGTTTTCCTATTTAATAAACTCACATTTCTCACAGTTTCTTTTTAAAAAAAAAAACTTTTGTTTGGTTTTAGCCTCTGTCTCTGCAAGTATAGATTTTTTTAACCATAGCTTTAGTAACAGTTTACCCTGGCTGGTAGATCATTGACTGGGCCTCCCTTGCCACATCGCTATCGTGGCCGCACGGTGGATGACTAACTCTTTCAATGTCTGTGGTTACTAACAAACCTCCCATAGAGCAGCAGCTATCTGAACACCTGGAATCAAACACTGCCTCTCTTTCCTATGACTGATTTCCTGCTGGTTGATCTCTTCTGCGAAAACATTGATTTGGCTCTCTATCTCAGATAAGAGTGCACTGCTAACACTTTGGTACGGGACGCATGACAAAAACCCTCTAATGGAACGTGGGTCAAGGCAACAACCTCACGTCATCCTTGCTGAACTAACATAATGCGGCTTTATATACATGGTGAAATGGATGTGGGTACATAACAGCATCTGTTGATTTTCACCATATTTCTTCTTCATCTGGGTTTAGATGAATAGCATTGTGACAGTATTTATACAATGTGTGACTGGTTACCTGGTATAATGGGAGGTGTAGTAGCAGAAACTTGCACATGATTGTGTTCACACACAAACATGCACATTTCTGCTGTGGGGGGAATAGAGAGTTACGCATCACTGAGCACTTACAATCTTTTCACCAGGGGGTTAACCAACGGCTCACTGTTTTATAGGTGTGTGGGATATCCAAGCAGGTGAGACCAACCAGATGGTCCACATGAACATCCTCATCACCTGTGTGTTTGCCGCTTTCCTCATGGGTGCCCTCCTGGCTGGTCTGATTGTTTTCTGCTACCGCGACTCATTCCTTCGTAAACCAAGACATGTTCACAAGGATGCAGAGTCGGCACCATCCTGCTCCGACTCCACTGGAAGCTTTGTCAAGCTCAATGGCCTCTTTGACAGCCCTGTAAAGGTACAGATATAAAAACACCTCTAATGCTACAGTTTTAGTGGAGAGGATTGGTCTAGGAAGATGTAAAACTGTATCTAATCTTGTTCTTTTGATTTTATTGTCATGTTCTCAGGAGTACCAGACCAACATTGATTCTCCCAAGCTGTACACCAATCTGCTGAGCAATGGCAAAGACCTGAATACACCCAACGGTGACACCAAGACGATGATCCTGCGGGACGGCTGTCAGCCCCCTGAGCTAGCTGCTCTGCCCACACCGGAGTCCACCCCTGTGCTTCAGCAGAAAGGCCTGCAGCCCATCAAAAACCAGTGGGAGAGGGCCCACGGGAAGGCCAGTGGACCCCGCAAGGAGTCCAACTCATCAGCCAAGAGTCCTCAGTTCCTTCCTTCTTCTCCTGCTCCTGTGAACTCCAACCCCCACCACCCTCACCTTGCCCTGGGACACTCCCACATCCCCAGTGCGGTTGTCTTGCCCAACGCCACACACGACCACCCTAACCTTGAAAATGGAGATGACACACTGCCACATTCATCTGAAAAGAAACTTAAGACTCCAGATTCTAAGGGAAGTAGAAAAGAGCAGAAGAGGTCTGTGGATGCCAGAAATACCCTAAATGACCTTTTAAAACACCTCAATGACTCTGTGGCCAACCCCAAGGCCATTCTTCAGGAGGGATCGGGCCCCCGCCCGAGGCAGCATCTCACACTGGAGCCCATGGAGGAACTGACTGAATTACCCCCGAAGGTGCCCAGTCGTGAGGCCTCCTTGTATTCTCCCTCCTCCTCCCTACCAAGGCACAGCCCCACCAAGAGGGTTGATGTGCCCATGCCCACCACTCCCACGACACCAACGGGAAGCCTGAGCATGGGGGGCACCCTAGAGAGGCAAAGAGGGGGGTACCAACTCCACCGGAGTGCCTCTCACAGGCATTCCTTATCCACCTCACCAAATGGGGTAACTATGGGGGTGTCTGTGTCTCGCCAACACAGTATGAACAGAGGGGGTTACATGCCCCCAACACCCCCCTCCAGACTTGACTCCCATGGCGGAGTGATGGCATCAGGAATGCACTCACCCCACCCGTCCTCTGTATCCCGACAGAGCAACTACAGTGGGCACGGCTCACTCCCTCGCACAGGGCTCAAACGGACCCCATCGATAAAGCCAGATGTGCCCCCTAAACCCAATGGGTTTTCACCACAGACTCCACAGATGCGAGTGGTCAACAAGTACAGTTATTAAGAGACAATGGACACTTCTGAGTGAGCGCTCAGCCTTGACCGTAGAGCTTTGAGCCCTGAGGGCTTGGGGTGGGGTATGATGGGGTAAGGCCTAGTGTGTGTTTGTGTATCAACTTGAGGTGTGTTCCCCCTTTAAACGATATGCACATTCACTCACACTAAAAAGGGAAAATCACATGTACGGCCAAAGATACTCATTGGGGCTTCTTGGCTCCCTACAACCCCATCTCCCTCCCTTGTCACAGTAGCCACAGGATATAAACAGTGGACAGTGGTCAGTCTGCTGCTCCCCATTGTATCTGGGCTTGGGTGTCAATCGTTCCTATACTAGGTACGAGGTTCAGGACACCAGCAGGGGCCGCTGCGGCGTATGTGCATGTGGTACCAGGTCAAAAACAGTGGAATACTTGAAGAATGGGTCTCATTTGTCACTGCCCTTGAGCACTGTCGTCCCACTAATGTGAACTAAACAAAGAGGAGAGGTAGGCCATGCCTTTGGTAGTAAGATGGCAGAGGGCAGAGGAGAGGAAAATCAATAATCATAGCGTGTGTGTGTTGCTTAAGAAACAAATGACCGCGAATAGCTGAATTAAGCAGCAAGCGAACAGAAAAAGAGTGCAAATGAATGTGTGCGTGTGTGTTGGTTGACTGGAAAGCAGATTTGTGCAAAGCCAGCACACATATTAGGCATTCACGCTTGGTAATCGAGGTTGGTGCCACTTGCCAGAGGATGCACCTTAAAACCTGTTTAAGACCTAAGACACTGTCCTTCATTTCAACAATATTATCTCTTCTTTAGGCTTGTTGGAATCCCTCTGAACCGAGCCTGAACAGTATTTTTGTGTCACTCTGTAACGTTTCTGGTAATTAGGCTCGGTTGCGGTGAAGTTGGTCTTGCTGGGTGTATACTGAAACTCACTGGGAATTTTTACTTTGTACATTTGCTGCTATTGGTTTTAGACATTGGTGTTTGTCTTTGATGCATTTTTTTCTGAACCAGGCTTGGATAGCCTCTGATATGAGTGTGCACATCTGCTTGTGTGAGTGAGAGTGTGTGTTATATTGCAGACAGGGGCCAAGAAGTACAGTTTTAAGCAACCAAATGCACTGTTAAAGCTGATACATGGGATGAAACGTGTCTCTCCTGGACTGAAACTTCCCCTAACCTCCACTGCCCCCTTTGTAAGAATTATACTGGTGGTTCAAGAGTCATCTGTCTTTATGTAGCAATGGTATTAAGAAAAAAAATGCATTTCTCATCTCATTCTATAAATGAATTTTAAACAGAATGATTTGCTTTTATAATGTTTTACAGTTTTATTTAAAGAATTTACCATATGAAACTAAAGCAACACCAATGGTTTAGCCCAAGTGTATGAATCCAACATTCAGGGCACTGCTATCCTGTTAAACTTGTGTGTCCCCTAATAGCAGAACATTAGAGTTTCTCTCCTACATTAATCCTATTAAAGGTATATTCAACTGACCCTAGAACAATACATGGATGTAACATCTTTGTCATCTGTCGTGCTGCTTCTGCAGCCCGTGTTCCCCGTGCAGTTTCCCCTGCGAGTGGCCAGTGTACAATCAAGACAACATTTACTGATGTGTCCAAATGAGTCATGCTGGGAATGACAAGATCCTGTATATACTTAAATGCTATAAATAAGGAGTATAAATATTTTTAGGCGAGTGAACCTGAATCTGTGCATTGTGTGCCTTATTCACAAAATGATCGCGTACAGTATATAATATTGGCAATGTCAATTGGTCCTCTGTATGTTATTGTCATATGCTATATAAACAATTTTTGCATCAGCAATTTGGAATTCAGCAAGACATGTGCTGGAAAATCACTACCTAATCCAAACTGAAGCGATGTGGAAGACAAATTGACAAACATTCCGCGTGCGAGTGCAAGTCATACAAAATGAACAACAACTTATTGGGATATGAATCAATTTTTCTCTTTTACTGCCGGTGTTGAAAAGAATGGTGTTAATCCACCACATAGAGGTGCCATGCGGTGAATGTATTTTCTTGACCGTGGGATGTAGGGTGGTGAGACCTTGCACTGTGGAGCAGTCGGCTCAACACAGCACATCCTGCCCACAGCCAATGTATTAACACAGTGTTCACATGAGAGCCGCCTGTTGGCAAGGCCTGGCGGTCATGCAGAATCTGCAATTCCCCAAGATTGCAGTGACAGGAATTGTTTTCTATTGGCCAGTAGGGACGACCGAGGGATCATTTCTCGTAGCAAGTGGTGGGGTGCATTATTTGGGTGAGTTCTGCAATCCTTTTTCGAGTGTCAGTTGCCTGTTTAGCCCAAAGCCACATTTTGTTTACAAGTGATGATTGTATGTAAAGACTTTCTGCCTGTCATCTAACCAGTGTTTGGGCTCTCTTTTTCTACTCAACACATGCACACTGACATCACATGACATACACTCAAACATACACTCGCTCAACTGCCTTGTACATTGCAATATGAACTGGGTCTTTCTGTTGCAATCTAAATTGAAGCCTTTATATTTCAGTCTGAGCTTTGGTGTATGTGCAGATGAAACCAGATTTTGTCATGTAATTTTGATTTTAAATACTGTGCAACATGGCAACGTGAGGCCAGCTGTATATATGATCTCCAGAGTATTTGAGCGTGTAGATATGTTGTAAAGTTGTACTGTGAATGTGTAAATAATAATGATGGTCTTTGTTTCATGATATTTTTTGTTGATTTTTTTAACACGGCATGTATAGTTGAAATAAAACATTACTGCACAGAAAGAGTTGTTTTGTGGTTTTAGCTTGGCCTCATTGGGTTTTATAAATTTATATGTTATTTCATGTTTCTGTGTGGGAGAGCATTAAGAAGCATTAAATCTGACAGTTAGGACTTTGTGAGTCCAGCCTAAGAGCCACGAGATGTGTTCTGCAGTTACAGCTGGGGCTGGAGGAAAATTCTATGTGTCTTCGCTGGGCTTTGTGAGCCGACTATCAGAGACATTAAGAGTCTCAGCATGATGACGACTATTTTTAGAACTGGGTTGTTTTGATGTTTGGGGCCAGCAGAGAATCAACCACACCAGATAGCATGTGGGAAAGTTTCCAAAGTAGTATGTTCCTGTGGACACCAAACATCTGGACTAACTGCTGCTTGGGGCACAAGATCTGAGCCACCAATGAGCTGTGGAGAAACGTGCACACGTACACATACGCACACACACACACACACACAAGCATTAGCGTACATATGGATGGGCGCAGCATAAACATGCAGCGCATGATGGCATGCACAGATCGGGGCAGTGATAAGATTAGCTGTCAACAAAGAATAAAGGAGCGATGGCTAGATAAGGGACTTTTCATGTATCCAATTTGCCGAATGGAGAATAATGAAATTGTCCGTTGAGGAATGTCCACTAATTCTCCTCTCAAAACAAGAAAAACATGGTATAATCACATGTGCATCATGTGCTGAAGTGCAAAACCTCAGATTCGTGCCAAGTTCACAGAAACGTACAGAAAATACACAGTTGTAACCGGATTTAGTGGTAAATGAGATGAACCTATCAACTGCTGGATGTCATGGTAGCTTATCGCACGATGTCCCCGATTTGAGTGTAGCCAGGAAACATTATTGCACGTCATGAGCACCACTCTCTTCCTCGTGCTACCGCTTCACTGTTTGCTATCAAATAGAGTAGAAATGTCCAAAATGTCACTTTTGTACATCAAAAATAAGGACTTTTTTCTTAGGTGCTTGAGTCAATGACTGTGCAAACATTTAAGAGTTACATATCAAGACTGAAAGAGTGAAAGAGGAAGCGTCCTCATCTCACTGATCTGCACATAAAGAAGAAGTGTAGGAGGGCTACACTTGGCTTTTTTGTTTTTTTGCAGGGAGGTGATGCAGCCCTTTGGATGTTTGGCCAGGAGGCTTTGTGGCTCATCACTGCCGTCAGAATGTTGACACAAGTACTCTTTCATTTGCTTTCAGCAGGACCTCCCGAAAACTCACACCTCCTAGCAACCCCGCTCTCTTTCTCTCTCACACACACACACACCCACATACACACACACACACACAGACACACGCACACACACACGAACACACACACAAGGGAAACATTCTCCCCTCTGGGTGTTCTAGCGGGGGTTGGGGTGTGATTTGGTTGGGAATGGGGAACAACAAAGAGGCGCCTCTTGCTATTCTGATGTACATCCCATCCTCTCAATTTATCAGATGGTCTCTTTGAATTAGTGGAGGCAAATCAAACACAGCCAATGATTCTGTAGCCGTTTCATTCATTTGTCCCTCCGCCTGGCCACACTTAGTCTCATTACTAGCACCGACTGTTCCCAGACAAAAAGCATGCGTTTGTTGTCATACAGGCGTGTCCGTGCGCATGTGTGTGTGTTTATTCCATTTCTCAAGGGACAGAGGAAGCAGATGCTTAAAAAAAAAAAAAACATCTCTTACTTAAGTGTAAGTGGAACACAGGAAGGTCACTCATCTAGATGCAGGCAGATGAAAGTACATTGCTTAAGTTGAAAGTACAGATTAAAATGTGCTTTTAAAACAGGAACACTTGTAAGGAGAAAATTCACACAAACATGCATACATAGACAAACCGCACACACTAACACAAAGAGTGATCTGGTTCATTTCTCTGCTTTCTGGCTGTTTATGCAGCGTCTCTTTAGAAATTTAAGGATGGTGATTAGACCGAAAATCATCCATCTGTACTCCTTCCTGTCCTCTTTTCTTAAAAGCCTGGAGGTGAAACCGGCAATTACATTTACAAGCCTCAGTCATGGAAAGGTGCTTAGAGGGTGTCTTTGTGGGCTTCAGCAAGTACATGTGCTCTCTCTGATGCATTAAAATCTGACAGAGTGTCCAGGAAATGCTTCATTTGAAAGTGGAACTAAATGACAGGGAGGAAGCAGAAATTTCTCTCAGTTGGATTGAAAAAAAAAAAAAGTTTTGACACTTTTTTTCAGTACAGCCTCCACAGTCGGGGGAAAGCCATCAAAATCTAATCCATGTGCCAAGTGCCCTTACATTGACAGTTGGTTAATGGCACACATTGCTTTGAAAAGTGACTTAAAAGGCAGGCAGGCAGGCAAAAGCAAGGAAGAGAGAGGGATTGTTGAAATAGGAGGAAGTGCGGATAGGAAGGGACTTGTGTTTCCTTTGCCTTTATGAGTAAATGCATTTGGATCGTGGATGAACTGCAAACAAAACAGCTTAATGAGAGAAAAAAGCATGACTTTTCCCAGTTTCCCCCCTACTGAGTTTCAGCCAACCTCTGCAATCAATTGCACTGACACCACAGAGAAAGACAGTGAGAGAGATGGCAGGAGGGAAGGAACTCGGCCAGAGATTTCTCTTCATTGGTATATTATATAATGGTTTCTTAGATTTTCTCGCAGCGAGCGGCTGTTGTGCTCCCAGATAACCTCCAGAATACGACGTGACAACCCTGTTGTTTGCCTACATCTGCACTCCCACCTGTGTTTTATCGCCAGGGATAATTATTAAGGAGGAATATTAAATGAAGAACACAATAAAATAATTATGCAGAGTTCACAAAGACAATGCAGGATCTTACGCAATGAAATCCAGAAATGACTTAAAGAAAAAATAGAACATCGGTTTTTCTCTCTGTTTCCTTGCAGTTTAAACACCAAAGCTCTGATACCACAAATTGGGCAAAACTAGAATAATGAACCTTCTTTTTCTCAGATTCTCACTAGTACTTGAACACATCAACAAAACAGGGCAAGGATCGAATGAGGGTAAGAAGAGACTGGATTTGAATCAATTTTATAACAGAAAACTAGAACTACTGTATCACGGTTGCATGTCTCTGCCAATCAGTCAAGTTGCAGTTTACACCAATCTCTCCTTCTGTTCCTGAGTTAAGGTGTTGAATAGTGGCCAGAAAGTGTTCCAGCAGAACCACAATCTAGTTGATTCATCACTGCGCCAAATTTGAAGAAATTTCCTCCAGCTATTCCTGATATAATGCATTGACAAGAATGGAATGAACACACAAGGTTGCAATGACCCTGACATTTGACCTTTCCTCACTAAAATGTAAGTGGTTCATCCTTCAGTCCAAGTTGAAGAATTTCCCTCAAGGCATTCAAGAAATACTGCATTCATGAAATTGGGACAGACGGACAACCTGAAAACAAAATGCGTCCACCCAGAGACATACTGAGGAGAGTGTACCTGTTTCTGAAGATATTCGGATGACACAACATTCTGGGGTAAATCAGTGAATGTTAGTAAGAAGGTTAAACTGGTCATGATACTGAAGTGACAATAAAGTAAGATTTAAGAAGCGAAGCTGCATCAGAGTCTTGTGTTACACAAGTCTAATGCCTTCACTCACACTACCAAGGTGCAAATCACCAAAACAATACATTTCAAAAGTTCACAGCCCATTCCAGGTGATATGAGTGAATAAACCCAACAGCATCTAATCAACAGTTATTTAATTCCTACTGTAAGAATCCAACAAGTTTGTAACTATTAAAAATTACTAGAAACGAAGCACAAAACCCTCTGAACCTTAAATCATTTCAGTAGGTTGGAAAAGCAAAAATTACCAAAATTACATCATGTGTCAGAGTCAGGTCATCAGAATAATCAGACATGATGTGCTATTCAGTCGACAACATAACCAAACATAAGCTTAACATCATGATGTTTAGTTGAAAAAGCTTTACATGCCTCATTTAAAAATTGCCCAAAATTCACCATTTGCAGAATCAGAGTCTCTAAAAAAACAAACCATTAGTGACTCAGCTGAATCAACAGTTACGTGGTAAAAATATGTGGACTTTTTAGGTAAAATGCAGGATGTGTTTACACTGACCAGACAGGGGGCAAAAAAACAAATTTAAAAAATGTAAATAGTAAAACATCTCTAGAATGTTAAGTCAGTTTTTTTTCCCCAGCATTGGTAACACTCGCTCTTGGAAAAATGTTTTCAATGTTGATTCCAGTTATTTTTCAATTATTGTAAATGAAATAGAGAAATGTAACTTTCATTTTATATATGATTTATGATATAACAGCTTTGTTATGCTGCACAAAACCCATTTGTAAATGTCTCTCTTCTTCTAGTCATGGTTGTGCTGTTTCCGTAGAGGTGCAGGACTTTATATTTCAGTGAAAAATGTGACAGGAGCAAAGAACACCCACAAAACTGCTTTGGGTTCAAACGGTTAAGCTAAATTACATTTTGCCAAAGCAGCATTTTACCATCCTTTGCGGCCAACACAAATCTGTGACATCACCTCTGAAGATACCACCCACTGCTAGAAAATATGCTGGACAAGAAACATTTGAGCTGTTTTTCCTTAAATAAAAGCCTTTTCCCAAAATTTGATAAATGAGTGCTGTACATAGTGCGAAAATCACAGAAGGGTTTCCTGCATAGCTTTAACTTGTTATGAAGTCTGTAAATTAGTGACGCGGTATAGAATCGAGACTTACGCCCTTTGGTATTACCATGCATAGCATCAACCCGGTGATACAGGCCGGTCTGAGAGAAAGAGTCAGGAGACGCAGATAGAGAACGGTGCTAAGAGCAGGAGGAGAGAGTGAGATGAATATCTGTCCAATGTGGTTCTTTAAGATGCACAGACCCTGCTCGAGCACCTGCAAGTAAAGGTGCTTATCTGTCAGATTTAATCTGCTCACCAGG